ATAATAATAATAATAAAATTTCATTTATAAACCGCTTATCCACGCTGTAACAGCATGTTCAATGCGCTTTACCACAACCATTACCCCAGAAGACCCTAGAACACGCAAAAACATTCTCGGCGTCACGGGAAGCATACAGTGCAGGCTGCGGATTGCAGGCGCTCAAACACGAACAAACTGTCAAGATCTTTCGCCGTCTGTAGTCGGGTTAAGTGAGGAAAGTTCGTGTAAAGTGTCTTTCTTAAGGACACAGCGTCATGCCCCTGACGGGATTCGAACCCGCGTTCTTACGGTTGCAAGTCCGAGAACCTAACCACTCGGTCACTGATGTTACACCGTATTATCATTATAATGATACTGCTACTACTACTACTACAACTACTACAACTACGAAGAAAAGAAGAAGAAGTAGAAGAAGAATTCAACGTTAGTGCATTTCAAGAACTCAGCATCGATATCGGCCGATTTATTTTCTTTAAAATTACTACTATTATTATCATTCCAGGCAAGAGGACACGAAGAAACGCGTTCTACGCACGGCAGATATACTCGACGTCAAAACCTGATCCTACTTGATTCGAGCGAAGTCGCCACCACACTCCAAAGAACTGCGACTGCTGGCTGGGCTATTAACGCGGGCGACGACAGCGGATGTGAGAGACGTTAGCTCGGAGTGTCGGCACGGGCGAGGCTCAAAGAGTTAACACGGATCTAGGCAGGTAGAACGTGATGCCAGCCATGCACGAAACACTAACGTCGAATTAAAAGCTTTACGTAAATCGTAGGGTTATTTGGTTTGTTCAAGTGGTGTGATCGAAAAACCGCAATCTGTTGGTACTGGGTGTGTGTATGTGGGGGGGGGGGGGCGTGTCGTTAGCTCAGTTGGTATCACGCTGGACCACGGAGCGTATGGCTCTGGTTTGAATCCCCCAACCGGTTGCTCTGAACTTGGGATGGTTCTGGGAGTTTTGAAGATTTACCACCCCTTTGGATCGGTCAAATCATAGATTGACGTTAAATTCAGATGCTCCCGCCTCTTAAGCAACCTTACGGTATTGAAAGGGACGTTATACCCATACAATATTGGACTTTTTCCCCTTCAGTCCGGCGTCTGTGGTGTAGTAGTTAGTTTAGTTTAGTAAAGATTTTTACGCCATTTCACTATTAAATATGATGTTAATTATAAGCGCCGAAGTTTAGAGGCGTAACTTACCAGACAGTAGCATACACAGAAAAAGAGGATCGATAAGTCGATTAGCTTCTGCGGTGTAGCGGTTAGGCGCTTAGCTGTTCGACGTGGGAGCCGTGAGATCGATTTGAGAGAGTTGGGAATTTGTAATCGAGTATCTCGGTCTTTGTGCTGCGATGATGTATCCCTCTCAGCCTAGGCTGGCCCTAACGGGTGGGATCGGAAGTCCGCCTCCTAATTTATCTAAATTGTGACAATGGGGGCGTAAAATCACCCACTAAAAAAAAGAGGACGTTTGCTGTTTGACAGAAAAGGAGGCGCAAACCACACCAAAGCGACCTCCAGCCATCCATGTTAAGTGGTTAGTGCTTTTGCTGCCGTACACAGAATATATGAGTTTGATTCTTGGGTAAGAAGATTTTCTTTTTTTCTTTTTTTCCTTTAATCGAATATCTCCATCGGTATGCTGTGAATGTTCTCCTAAGTTTCGCCCAAGTTAGCTTTGTCAATCAGGGTCGGAGCAGCCCATCTCCTAAATTATCTGAACTTTGTGGTTCATGAGAACGTGAAGCATCTACAAGCACAATGAACATATTCATGTTCGCACAAGGAGATCGTTCTCTTGAAACCGGCATTTCAGTGACAAGTTTGTTTTTTTAATAAAGAACTTAACGTTTTGTATCGGAGTGGATTTATTTTACATATCGCACGGACTGACACGCACAATGTGGTAGTATGTTTTAACCCTATCCGTAAGTCGTGTTTTACTATCGTATCCATACGACGTGGGGAACTCTGTGTCACCAATGAGCAAATTTACTCGTTAATCCGATCCGTCCGCTTTGTATAGCAGTCTGTCAAAATGATTTTTTGAGAAATACTGAAAGTTCCAAAGGGATATTCGTACTAGAAGTATTCTAAAATGTGAAGAATACAACCCCGGGGGTACAAAATGACCCAAGGGCGTACGGATAGGGTTAAACCTTCAAGAGGATGAACGTAGATACAAAGCAACCCCCCCCCCCCCTTTCCAAAAAAATATATATCAGCCAAATTACAGGATATCTTGGGTTGTTACTTTTAGTAAGCGTTTTACAACATTTGCAACACAATAAGGTCATATAAGTGCCGAAGATAAGTGGTGTTACAATTACAAGAGAGTAACAAACACAAAAAAGAATGAGGAGAGGTACGGACGATAGGTTTGGTAAGAAAGAAGAGGCAAACCACACCAGAGCACCCCCCAAAACCGCCCACAAAGAGGAAAGATAAGGAGGAAAGACAGAAGAGGC